ACTATACTAAAAATATATACTATCCTTTTCATGAGGACATAGTTTGTCAGTGGTTTTTGGCATCAGCACTCGATGTTTGGTCCATGAATGCACCACTAATAATATCTTTCAAAGCTTGCATGTGCAATCACACATGACATTAATGTACATTTGACCAGAAAAGATCTATCTCGGGCAATTATCCCTCACTGAGGTGTACAGTACTGTGCTCACAAGTAGGAAATCAATCCAAAACTTTTGGCATGCTTTAAAAGATAGCCACCATCCTGATTCCATAAAAACGTCCTGCACTCCTGTTCTCTTCATTTAAATATCCTGCTTCTACTAATCCTTGTGCCTCTTTAGTTTAGCAATGAATTAATAACAAGAGCAATTCTCACAGGATATTATGTTTTTGTACAGGTTTATGAACCTATTCTCTAATTAGATTGTTTAAGAAACATTACCATCTTCCATGAAATACCAAGAAAGAGTGGATTTAGATGATTGATTTCAGTCCTGCTGAGATCTATTGATAAGTAGGCTAAATAACACAGTTCAGCCAAACAATGCTTTACTTTCTCTGCACCAACTTGTGTGTATTTGTGAGGCAATTAAGAAAGCCCTTTGGCCTGTGCTCCATTTGCCAGAGCCTCCATTTAGATTAACCAGTAGCTCCAATTAGGAGCAGGCTCTTCCTTTTCTGTGAGCACGCCAGCCTCTAATGGCTGGATAGATTGATTTAAATGCAAACTAGAGAGGATTTAATGAACTGCTTTTACAGAAAGCGTTTAATAGGAATTTGCACACCCACGGACAGGTTGCCAAACAGTTCACACACCATTAATTATGCATTGTAGTGTTTTTCTTGAAAACAGAGACTATTGTTGCTCTGGAATTATTGGCACTAAGCAACACGCAAAGACAGTGTCTGCTGACATTTGATATAGCTGAGATGTGTTGATACTGTTGAATATAATTAGTGTAAGGAATGCCCAAGTAAACAGATAGAAGAACGTATGCTGACTGTTGATCATAGCCCTCAAAACTTGTGGATGTAGTGGATCATAGACTGACATTGACATACATCTGGTAAACACTGTAGAACTAATGTATCCTGGCGCAGAAGATGAGAGTAATGTTATACATCTGTTATATTGTGGAGTTATGATTTAGGTGCTTCTATCTGCATTGTAATGAGTGGAGATACGGGCAATTGGGCATTAATGAGCCGTGAATCTGACATAGTATTCTGGAGGGATTTTGGTTGTGTTGCTCTGGGTTTTACAGCGTGTGTCATTCAGTTAAGTGAGCGGGAAATTGAGGAGAACGTTTATCTCAACAATAATCTCAATATTCTCTGTGCATTCCATGAAAATTGTAGGACTGTATATATAAAGTACTGGCACCATTGCACAAAGAGTAGTGTGACTAGTTTTAATTTATTTTTGGACAACCTTTAAAAGGGTACTGAGGGAATTTAATATTGGACTTCCATAAACTCACAACAGACAGATGATATAAAAGGTCAAAGTCTGAGCAGCTGAGGCCTAGATGGGACATATCGTAACGTTTAGTCCTTAGTTTGGTTTAAAGGATAGGGTCAATACTCAATAAATACTCAAATGCCTATTTGTTGTAATTGTTTTCCCGGTTAATACAGACTGGAAATAAATTCCTTCTTTAAGCAATTTTAGTGTAAGAGAGGGACACATTACCATATGCCTTATTCTGTGCAAAAATGCATTCTTAAAGGTTATATATACAAAATCCACTTGCCACTAGATGTTGCACTAGAACACCAGCATCTCAGACTTATACGTAAAATATTTATTTCAGCATCCTTTGCACTCTGCACCATTGCACTACTGTCTACTGTCTACAAATGTTTGTTTATAGATATGTATAACTGTACATATAAGTTAATCTATGTTTGTACATTGAGAGCAACATAAGAGTCAAATTCCTTGTATGTGTACACATACTTGGCCAATAAAAGTGATTCTGATTCCAATTCAAAACAATGGATGCTACACCTGCAAAACCAGTAAATCATTATAAAACACTTGTCAAACTTGACAGAAACTAAATAAAACTCACCAAAACTGTCTTTGGCAAATGTATCTATTTAATTGTCCAATCTGACAACATTATTGAAAGAATCCCTATAGAGATCGACCTTTAGTTTAAGCAGAAACAGCCGTAATATTGCCATCGCTCACCACCAGACTCCATAAACAAAAGCAGTAATTTTACCTTGCATATTATAGTGACATCGTAACTCCATTCAGAGTGGACAGACACATTGTAACACTCCACCGAGCAGTCTTTATCAGTCTTTCACTCTGGCTTAGTCAAACTAAATCCCTAATTCACAGTTGTAGATGAGCAAAACAACAGTGTCAGTCACTCTACTCAGTTTGAAACAGAATGACTCTGGTGGCACACGCAGCCAGACCGGCCTTCATGATATTCTGCAACCAATCAATATGACAAATTATGTGAACATGACATTATCAAGGTGCATTGATGTTTTATTTTTGTTAGATCCACCTTAGTTAACAAATGCCAACATTCTTTAAACTCCACCCTGCCAGTTTGAAACACAGGTTTGAAGGAGCTTCTCTAGACAAAAGACATGATACAGTTCTTTTTATTTTGATCCAGATGTACAGTAGTGGAAGATTTGTTGTATTGTTAGTTGAGGCAGCTTTGTAAAATAAAGCAGTTGAACTGAAAGAAATTCATAGTGTTAATTGTATAATGGCAGAACATTGATTTAGCTTGTCAAGATAGACAGACAGATAGATGTAACAGGGGCAGTAGCTTGTGTAGGATTACTGGTCACAACTGTGATCAGAGTCAGACACACTGGCCTTGGTAAGTCCATTGTACAGGTACAGTCGTGGTCAAACGTTTTGGTTACAAGATCAGAAGCATTTCATCTGTGTCAACATTTTTTATTTACATTTACATTAAGTTTATGCAAAGAGTCAATCTTTACAGTGTTGACCCCTCTTTTTCAAAACCTCTGCAATTCGCCCTGGCATGCTGTCAATTAACTTCTGGGCCACATCCTGACTGATGGCAGCCCATTCATGCATAATCAATGCTTGGAGTTTGCCAGAATTTGTGGGTTTTTGTTTGTCCACCCGCCTCTTCAGGATTGTCCACAAGTTCTCAATGGGATTAAGGTCTGGGGAGTTTCAATTCAATTCAATTTTATTGATATTGTTTCCTGGCCATGCACCCAAAATGTTGATGTTTTGTTCCCCGAGCCATTTAGTTATCACTTTTTTCTTATGGCAAGGTGCTCCATCAAGCTGGAAAAGGCAATGTTCATCATTAAACTGTTGGTTGATGATGGTTGGGGGAAGTTATCCTCAGAGGACGTTCTGGTACCATTCTTTATTCATGGCTGTGTTTTTAGGCAAGATTGTGAGAGAGCCCACTCCCTTGACTGAGAAGCAACCCCACACATGAATGGTCTCAGGATGCTTTACTGATGTTAGCGCTCACATTTTCTTCTCCGGACAAGCTTTTTTCCAGATGCCCCAAACAATCGGAAAGGGGATTCATCAGAGAAAATGACTTTACCCCAGTCCTCAGCAGTCCAATCCCTGTACCTTTTGCAGAATATCAGTCTGTCCCTGATGTTTTTTCTGGAGAGAAGTGGCTTCTTTCCTGCCCTTCTTGACACCAGGCCTTCCTCCAAAAGTCTTCGCCTCACTGTGCGTGCAGATGCACTCACACCTGCCTGCTGCCATTCCTGAGCAAGCTCTGCACTGGTGGTGGCCCGATCCCGCAGCTGAAACAACTTTAGGAGACGGTCCTGGCGCTTGCTGGACTTTCTTGAAGCCTTCTTCACATGAAATGCAGTGGACACTTTTTGGGATTAAGTTCATTTTCATGGCAAAGAGAGACTTTGCAAATAATTGCAATTCATCTGATCACTCTTCATAACATTCTGGAGTATATGCAAATTGCCATCATAAAAACTGAGGCAGCAGACTTGTGAAAATTTATATTTGTGTCATTTTCAAAACTTTTGACCACGACTGTAAAAAGTGAAGTTCAATCAAAAAAAATACTTATAACACATAGTACAAATGTATGACAACACATAGGAAAACATATTGTAAAGACTAAAGGACAAGACATTCACTCTTACCGCACCAGTGGGCCGCATATCCTTGCTTATTAATCCTACGTTCTTATCGTTGATGGTGATTTCTCAGATGCTTTGGTGACACAGTTGTCTGCTCCGGAAGCTTTCCTCCATGCTTTGCTCCCTGCTGTCCACCATTTTCAAACATTTTGATTTGAAACAGGTCACACTTTGAAAATTAATGAAGTTCAAACTAACTAAACATTTTTTTTTTAAATTAGTTCTAATTAAAAAGTGATAAACTTAGTGCTGACTTTCAGCTTTATGTTTAAGAATGGTCACACCCATATTGGGGTAGTATCCACTTGTGGATACTTATTGCATGGTTTACTAAATGTGGATATAGAGTACAGAGCCTGCAGAAAACTGTACCAATATTTTTGGACAGCACTGTAGTTTTTAAACAAACTTGATCAAGTTTTATTTAGTTGCTTGCACAGTCAGCACCTGCCAATGTGGTTACGCCTTCACATGTAATCACAGGAAGCATTGAAGCATCACAAAAACTTAACACATTAATATTAGTTTACCATAACAAATTAATTTGGTTTCAGTGCCACATTGGTGCCTCTTTATCATTATGCCCATGAATAGTTTCTTTTTAGCAGGGTTTTTTAAAATCTTTTTTTCATATTCTCTGTTTAATCACTTAACCTTCTAGAGTGTATTGTATTGAATTGGAA